GAGTCCTTGGCTGCGATGTCGCGTCCCCGGGGCCGCTTGTCCCCGCCAGAGCTCGCCCACACTAAGGGTCCTGGGTGAGCGGAGCGTGGTGGCGCCGAGTCTGTCGTGTGGATCCTGGGGGAAGGAACCTGCGCGGCGGGCGGATCTGGGCCGCGGGTGACCGAGTGGCCAGCAGGCTGAGCGTGTACGGCCCCGCAGGAGGAACCGTCGACCTGTGCAGCTGCCTCCATCAGTGGCCCTGACTTGCTGTCTCCGTAGGGTTGACGCGGGACTCTGGGGAGCCACTTTGTCAGCTGTTTGTTTTACATCTCAGAAATGTGCTTCTGGAGCCCGAGGTCTGGATATGTGTGAAGGCCCATCATTAACAAGGCCAGCCCTCTGAGCTGCGAGGATCACTTTCTTTAGGCCGTTTGCCAAGGTAATTATTTTAAACAAACTTTTAAGACCTTTTCCCCATCGTTTGATGTGTAAAGCACTGGCGCTACAGAGCTACGTAGAAGAGAAGTTCTTGCCCTAAGAGACTCGGAATTTCTGAGTGTTCTGCAGGTGCGTGAGTGGGAGTTGAGAGAGCCCCTGATAAGCACAGGGTGGAAGCACACACAGGTGGGAGGTCAGCAGGGAGGGCTGGAGGACAGGGTGGATGCCACAGGCCTCGCAGAGGTGATGGCACACCCGTGGTTCCTGCTAGAGTCGCTAGCGGAGGGCTTTTAACTTGAATCTGAGTTTTACCACCTTGATCTCATCATTTACTTTTTCTCTTAAAGTTCCTGAGATTAAAAACCAGGCAGAGATATGAAGGATGAGTATTCAAGGCAGATAGAAGAGCTTCTGTAAAGTCAGGGAAATGCCAAGCACCATGAAGTGTTTTAGGAAGAGGTAAGTATGAGGTAGCAGCGAGAGATGCTCATAGGCCAGATTGTGGACGGTTGTATGTATGTGGGAAGTTCAACAATTTGAATTTTATCCCAAAGCAAGTGGAGGAGTCATCTGTGCTTTTGAAGTCTAGCGTGTGCTTGGGCCTCTGGGAACATTTTTGGAGCAGTGATTAGTGGTGGGTCAAATAAAGGACAACAATCATTTAGGTTTCTTCAGTCATCAGGTAGATAGTGAAAACACATTAAGGCAGTGGCATTGACACTGAGAGGAAAGCACAGGGGTAGACTTTGGAGGTAGCCTCAGACTCAGGTAAGGCTAAAGGCAAAGGAGAGTATAGGATAAGTCCTAGGCTACTGGCTTGGAAGTTGAATGGATGGTAATGCTGTCAATCCTGCGACTGTGGGACACACAGAAGATTAAAGAACTCTGTTCTGCTAGACAGGCGAGTAGAGATACACTTTATGCCCCCAGCACCTCAATAAAAATGTGTTTTTGTTCATTTTGGTTTGGTTTTAAGTTGGATGTGCACCTGTAGTCTCAGCTACTTGCTAGTTTGAGGCAGGAGGATTACTTGAGCCCAGGAATTTAAAACCAGCCCAGGGAACATAGACCCTCATCTCAAAAAAGAAGAAAAGGAAAATTTTCCATCTTTGGGAAGCTTTAATATAGGTGGTAGCTGAAACAGTTAAAATAAGGTCACAGAAAAGAGAGTAGTGAATGAAGAGATTAGAAGTCTCAAGCCTTTGGAGATTTTGATAGGTGTTGAGCAAGGGAGGAAGTGATTGTTGAGGGTTATTGGGTAGACTGAGTGTCCAGAGAACAATATATTGCTGTAGCATTTCATGCAATTTATAGAGTCCGTCATGCCCAAACCTAAGTGGGACCCTCTCAGCAAACATGCTGACCCCCACAAACAATAGGAAACCACTAAAGGGCTGTGCTGCCCTCAGTAAACAGAACAGATGGTCATAAAGAAAATTTAGAACAAGACGTGCAATCTCCCCAGCGCCGAGAAGTCCAGTGTTACCTGTACACCTGCACTGACTGTCCTGGGAGCTCGAATCCCAAGCATTCCATCCCAGAGTCCTTGAAAAATATTAACTGGGAAGGGAAAAAGATTGTTGCTTGATGTCTGTGGCCAGTTAATACTGAGAAATGATATCCCAAAGATAAGTCTATGGAAAGTTAAAGTTACGTGTCTGATGAAGCGTCTTACAACTGTCCTTTTGGTTGGTGCTCAGAGTGACTAATTTTTGTCCTGCATCTTGAGTGGCATCTGTCATTCTCATTTGTGTTTCAGTAACGACTCCAGGCAGTTCCAGTCCTGTGAAAGTAAAACAGATCTTAACTGAAGGCATAGTGGTTTCAGGCGTTTATGAGCAGTAACTTTCTGCTTAAAGACAACAAACAAGTACACTACTGAGATTTCTTGAGCTTAGCTTTTGAACTTTGATGATTTTAGATTTGAGAATATAATTAGATGTATTTTGACCTTTTGAGAGAAACAAGGGAATGTTTCTGTGCTGTGCTCTACCACAGTATTTTGTGTGGATTCTAGGTTCCATAGTGCTTACCTTCTTGGAAATTGAGTCTTCCTTTCAGGAGTGTGAAAGCAGGCTCCCTCACTGAGTAGTAAAAAGCCAACTGTAGTTTTCTCAATACATTTGCTGTCTGCTCTTGTAATTATTTTAAAATACCCAGTATTTACAGTCCCATAATTAAGTTTTTTAGTTTAGATTGATGGTCTTTTTATCTGCCAAAGTCATGCTTGAAACAATTGATGTTTGAGAAATCTTTGTGAAGTTTCACTTTCTGTTCTTAGCTTTGAGGTCACTCCCTGCCCTCAGTTAGATCATGGGATAAACCAGCTTTTGCAAACCATTCCAGAATTTTGATGATGTTCTTTCAACATTCTTCCTTAAATAAACCGATTATAGTTTGCCAAAGCATTGTGAGGATTGTATCTCTGAATGTTCTGCAGTGCCCTTGTGTATGGTAGGCGTTGGTGAAGTGTAATTGATTAGTATCAAGAAAGGGCAAATTCCTGTAGCTGAGCTTGCGTTCCTAGTTTTTTCTTCAGAGGAAAACCATGTAATTTGTCCTTTTTTGTTCCATTTTTCAAGAAACTTCTAGTTTTTGAACTTTGTGAAATTATATTCTTCCTAAATGAGTTTTGACCTTTTTTTTCGAAATCTTTTTTTGTTGTTTTGTTTTGAAATCTTATTTTTGTTTTTGTTTTGTTTTTTTGGTACCGGAGATCGAACTTAGGTCGTAGCACTTGCGAGGCAGACAGCAGAACCACTGAGCTAAATCCCCGGCCCATTGAAATGTTATTAATTTTTTTCAAAATCTTATTTTTTAAAGTTTTTTTCCATATATGGTTATATGTTAAAAGCTATCCTAAATTGTTTTAGAAGCATGAAGAAAGTAAGCTTCTGCTGAAGTATAAGTGAAGATAATGTTTAATAAATTTATTTTATTTATTTTTTATTGAGCTTATTGGTACATTTTAGGTATACAGTACAGTTACATTCATTATTGGGATCTTGTACCTTTACATGACAGGTCTTGGTTCTCATTTTTTCCCCTTTTCCCTGCCCTCCTTTCACCCCCTCCTGTGTTTAATAAATTTAAAAAATCAGCTCACATGATAAACACACATTTGCCTGTACTTATGCATTCATATATAATTACTTAATCATGGGTTACAAAGAAATTAGGGGAGTTGTTAAAGCCTCTGCAGTAAAGTAATTTCTTTCACTAGCAGAAATTCCTGTGATTTTAGGGGGATTCCAGGGATCGAACTTGGGACCTTGCTCTTGCGAAGAAGGCGGTGGAACCACTGAGCCAAATCCCCGGCCCTAGGGGAATGATTTTTTGTGTTTCTGTTGCGAGGGATAGAATCCAGGGCCTAGGAATGGAATCCAGGGCCTCAGGTATGCTAAGCAAATGTCTTACACAAAGCTGCATCCCTAGCCCTTGAATTTTATGGGGAGATTTATTACAAAACCTCTCATTACCAAATATTTGAATCCAAACATTTAGAGACTTTGTTAGGTTGGTTTCCTTTTGTTTTATTTTTTCCTCCTGAAGGGAGACTTTTTAGATTTTTTTCCTAATGGTTAGAAATTTTAGTATGTTGTCTGCCTGCTAAGTTCTTGATACAGCTTTAAATATCAGAAAAATGGGATGTCTTCATATCACGCTAGTGAGGTTTTACCTGTTAGGATATTATCTGCCCTGATGAAAATGCGTGCATTAGGGTCATTTGCTTTGTGGAATGAATTTATATTGGATCTGTGATCCTCCCACCACCCAGTTTGGTTGATAATTAACGGTCATTGGCAGTTAAGTGAAGGTTACCTCGAGTGGGTCAGTTGATAATATTGTGGCCCAATTCCTAATGATTGTTTTCACATGAAAGAACACTTGGGTATGGTCGTCTTCGGATGGCAGCAGACTGGCAGAGAGTGGCGTAGATGATACTCAGTTGGGCGCGTCTGACATTTTTCTTAGGAACTCTGTCTGCCCAGCTTTGGGAGGCAACTGCAGAGCTTGTTTCTCATAACTTTACGTCAAGTATAGCAGTGTTACTTACCCTTGCTTGGTTTAAGCTCGATTGATTGGTAAAGGCTGTGCTCGCCAGGTGTCCTGGCATCTGCAGCTGTGAGGAGGGACGGTTCATACTGACTCAGGGTTTGTAGAGGCGTCAGTTGACGGTCAGCTGGCTCCGAGGCAGCAGGGTGGGTGGCATGGCAGAGAGACAGCGCATGGCATGGCTGTGGAGGGAGGGAGGCAGACCCTTCCAGGCCCCGTCTCCAGTGCCCACCTCCTGCGGCCAGGCTTCGCCTCCCAGCAGCACAGTTAGCTGCAAGCCGCCGGTGACTGAACTCATTCCATCACCCCCACACCCCTGCCCCGAGTGCATGAGGCCTTGGGGGGCCATCTAGATAGCGTATAAGCGGCACATTCAGACATCTTCACTGTACAGTTACGGGGTTTCCTTTTCCAGATTTTTTTCTTTGAAGGTGATTTACTTAGCCCAGCCTGTACTCAAGGGAGCTGGGAGTAAGCTCTATCCCTGTAACAGATTATGTATAATTATTATCTGGGATTCTTGCAGGAGGAGGGTGAATTTTCTCTGTCCCATTTGTTTATGCATTCCTTTGTGTTAGTATAGATGAATTTTTGGCAGTTCTGGTTGTTTCAGCTGTAGGTCTGAGGGGAGTGCTTTTGTTTCTGTCATTACACTCGCTTTGCATTTCCTCTCACTGACCTTATTTTTTAATGTATGATCAGTACATACATTTGCCTTTTATGTGGCTACAGAATACTGTTAACTAATGAGCTTCTCCTGCTAGCTTTTCTTTTGGTACTGGGGATCAAACTCAGGACCTTGCGCTTTCTTGGCAGGCACGGTGCCAGAGCTTTCATAAATGTATTTATTTATAGGGAAAAATACAGTGTCTTATATTTATTACGTCTCATTAGAGATCTCTTTGCATTCTGGCTTCCTTCCTCTTCCCTAATCTCAGTTTCCATGTCATCCAGCTCAGATGAACCCGCCCTGTATGAGTCTCTTTAGGTCATTGAAGAGCAGTGGTTTATGGGTGGTAATATATGCTTGCTGTTTGTGTGTGTGTACCCACACACACATGTATGTATGTGTGCTTTCTAAGCAGGAGAGAGGGTCTTCCTTTGTAGTGCAGGCTGCTTGAACTCACTGTGTACTCAGGCTGGCCCCAGACTTGGGGCAGTCCTCCTGCCTCAGCCTCCTGAGATCTAGGATTTTAGCCACGCACCACCACAGCCAGTTCTGCTTGTGTTATTACTGTACATTTATTTGTGTGGATTTTTATGTTTTTTTGTGAATATATGTATTTTATACACATATACATACACATTCTTCCCTATATATCTCATCAAATGGGAACTGTTACATATAATGAGGCAAGTTATATTACAAAATTATAATTTCAAACAAAAACTGGTCATGTCTTTAAACTTCTACTTTCAATAATGCCTAGAAAAAAAGAAACTATATTTGCTTCCTTCAAAAACAAAAGTCCTGGGCCTGGGATTTAGCTCAGTGGTTCCAGGGCCTGCCTTGCAAGCAGAAGGTCCCAAGTTCGATCCCCGGTACCAAAAAAAAAAAAAGAAGTCCTTTGTTGTATTTCAGGTAGAATCTGTAGGGCCAGGGTTATGTAGTGTACTGTAGAGTCCTTGGACAGCGTGTTGTGAGGCCCTGGATTGGTTTGATCTCTTGCATCATAAACAAAACAAAACAAAAAAACAGACTCTTTAGATGTTTAGTACTGGGTGGAGTAACAGTAAATCACACAAGCAGGCAAGGAATCTGAGTCTACACGTGGGACACTGCAAAAAAAGAAAGTAGTGTTTCATTTTAAGTGCAATAATTAAGTTTATAATTTTTAGAAGTGATTTTTACAAAAAGTTTATTCTCAAAGGATTTTTATGTTTACAGAGGGTTCTAGAACAGTGCTTCTGGGAAGGTGAATGTTCTTGAGCATTAGATTTTGCTGCCAGGAAATTATTAGGATATCCTAAAATCTGTACTTTGCAAACTGATTAAGTGTGTGTGTGTGTGTGTGTGTGTGTGTGTGTGTGTGTGTTCCATTAGTACTCTAAATAGGTTTTTTTTTTCCCCCCCTCCTCCCAGTATTGGGTTTGAACCTAGGGCCTTTTAAGTTTTTAAAAAATGTTGAGATAGTCCGATCTTGCTAAATTGCCCAGGCTGGGTCTCCTGCCTCAGCTACACAGGGTGCTGGGATTACAGTTGTGCACCACTGTGGTCAGGTCTTCTACATAATTTTGAGCCTTCTCTGTAGCACGCCTATTATATGTTGCTTTATGCTGTTCATTATTAACAACTAGCTTTCAGATTTGTTTTTCTTTTGCAGTGCTGGGAATTGAACCTAGGGCCTTACACATGCTAGGCCAGCACCCTTACCGCTGAGCTATGTCCCTTGCACTTCGGTTAGTTCGGGGATTGATAAAGTGCCTTGCAGAACATCTGGCTGTGGAAGCACTTTGAAGTTGAAGACCCAGTCCCGAGTAGGAAGTGTACCCCTCTTCACATGGAGTGCACGTGCAATGTTATTTTGGACTTAAGGTTTTCGATGTCTCCTTTGCTGGGTATAGGTGCAGAATGAGCACGTGCTGTTGGTGTACACCAGGTGGTATTTCCACCACTGACTTCCTGAAGTGCTATGCGTCCAAGACCCAGGCCCGTGAGTTCCAAACAGCTGATGAAGACCTCTGCTACTGCCTGGAGTGTGTGGCCGAGTACCACAAAGCGAGGGACGAGCTGCCGTTCTTGCATGAGGTAATTTATATTAGATAGGCATTATTTTTCAGAGCTTTATAACTAGGAAGAGATAAAGTCTGGATTCTGTTAGAACTGTTCACGGGAATGATGTGATTTACATTTTGAAAACTAAAGCACGTCTAGCACCTAACTCACCGTGGTACATTGGTGTTGAGAAAATGCCCCTGATGGAATTGAATTGGACCTGAAGGGGAGTTTTATGATCCATCACTTCCTGTCATTTTAGTATGAAATAATTTATGAAGTCATTTATGGGATATTTTTTGTTTCTTTTTTATGTCAATGCTATATTATCTGGATGACTTGAGTGTTTTTAAGAGGTTTTGTTTTTGTTTTTGGTATTGGGAATTGAACTTGGGACCTTGCACTTGCAAGGCAGGTGGTGGCACCACTGAGCTAAATCCCTGGCCCTTGGGTGTTTTTCTTTATGGGTTAGTAGTTACTTTTTCATGAATGGATGATTATAAACCTAAAGGCAAGTATATTTAATTTATTACATTTATCTGATGAGAAACAACACAGCTCCTAGCGATGTATACAGTTTTGGGGGGTGGGCGTGGAATCTACGTTGAGAAACTTCCATTTTATAGATTTTCCTAAGTGTGAAGTTATCTGAGGTCTCGTGCAAAAGCTCATGTTCTCAGGTGCTGTAGGCACCCATGGTTAGAACGTGGAAAGGCGTGGGACAGAAGGCCTGGCTCAGGCTTTGACAAAGAAGCTCCAGCTTCTCATTCCCTTCTGAATGTATTTCACGGGGATTTTGAGATGCCTGTAGCAAAACTCTTCAAAAGAAGTACTAAGGCATCTCATGCTCTGTGGTTGTACCCTATCAGAGTGGCCACGTTTAGACACTGTTGTCTTTGAGCCTAACACAGCCACACTTTATTTTGTTCTGTGCTCTCTTGTGCTTCATAGATAGAGTCCTTTTTTTTTTTTTAACAAATTGAAAGTCTGTAGCAACCCTGCTTTTAGCAACTCTGCAGGTGCCATTTTTCCAGGAGCGCCCACTCAACTTTCTGAACCACATTTTGGTAATCTCACAGGCTTCCACCTTTGTATTATGGTGATACCTATTATGGTGACCTGTGGTTAATGTTATTTCATGTTAGCAATTATAATTGTTTTGGAGCGCTGGTAAACATGTCTGTGTAATAAGATGAACTTAATAAAGGTTGTGTGTGTCATACTGCCTTACTGGCTGGCTACTTTCCATCTCTCCCTTTCCTGGAGCTTTTGGTAGTGTGTGCGACACAGCTGTATGTATTGAAATTAGGCCAGTTACAAACCTTGTGGTGGCCCCTTTGTGTTCAAGTGAAAGGAAGAGTCACACATCTCTCACTTTGTCAAATGCTAGAAATAATTAAATTTAATGAAGAAGACATGTAGAAAGCCAAAACAGGCTGAAAGTGAGACCTCTTGTGCCACGCACACAGCTAGGTCTTTTGTTTTTGTTTTGTTTTGTTTTGTTTTGTTTTGTTTTTGATACTGGGATTGAACTCAGTACCTTGTTCTTGAGAGGCAGGCATGGTGCCACTGAGCTAAATCCCCAACCCTGTTTTTTATTTTTAATGGAGACAGGACCTTGCTGTGTGATTCAGGCTGGCCTTGAACTTGCTGTATAGCCGGGGCTGGCCTTGAACTCACAGTAGTCCACCTGACTCAGTCTCCCAAGTACTGGGATTACAGATAGACATACCACACCCAGCCACACAGTCAGATTTGAGTGTAAAGAAAATGTTCTTGAAATTAAGTACTGTTCTGATGAACATAAGAATAAGAAAGTGAAACAAGGGCCGGGGATTTAGCTCAGTGGTTCAGTCACCTGCCTCGCAAGCACAAGGTCCTGAGTTTGATCCCTGATACTGGAAAAAAATGTGTGGGAGGGCTGACTCTCCTGCCAGGGTCCAATGTACCTGCTGATTAAGTTAAACTCAGTGCTTATATGCCATTCGGTAAATGCTAGGGTCCTTAAGAATTACATTTAGTCTGCTCTGCCTGAGCCTTGAGACTAGAACAACAAAGCCTGGATGGTAGCATGTTTCTTTATACTTTTGTTTACTCAATATTTGAAGCCGACAGTTGAGACTGCTCAGTAAAAAGAGCTCCTGTTAATAAATTATTGCTGATTAACAAACCACCTGGTCACTTAAATGCTTTGCTTTATGCCTACTAACACACACAGCGTCCATTCCGCAGCCCGTTTATTAAGGAATAGTTTGAAGTCCTACTATTTAAGAAGTATGTTTTCTAAGGCTGATACATTAAGCATGGCTATTACACAGTCATTCCGTGGTAGATCTGGGGAAAGTTAATTGAAAACCTTGGAGAAGATTCACCTTTCTAGATAATATTGGTGAGTCTTGGGAAGCTCCTAACGATCAGCACTGACGGGAGCGTGGGAGAAGTTGAGTCCACCCCTCGTGGATAGTCTGAGGGATTTAAGTCTTCAGAGGAGGAAGTAATGAGATGTGATGGAACTGGCAAGAGCCCTAGCATTACGGGGGAGCCTGAGGGTGGGATGCACAGCTGCAGTCTTGTAATGAGAGCAGCTTTTTGTGGGTAAGTAAAGTGATTTCTTGAGAAGGATTATACTCCTTGTGAAGATGCCATTACATTTGGAAATGAAAACAAAGACCTGGAATACTACATAAACTTCATTGATAAAAATGCAGCAGATTCCATAGGATTGACTCCAGTTTTGAAAATTCTGTGAGTAAAACGCTATCCAGCAGCATCAAGCTGCAGAGAATTCTTACGAGAAGAGTCACTCATGCAGTGAACATGACTGCTAAGGAATTTCCATAGCTGCCCCAGCCTCTAGCAGTTCAAGCCTTGATTGATTGGCAGGGGTCAACCCTGAGGCAAGACTACTCTCTGCAGGCCCAGATAATCATGAACATTTTATTTTTTTATTCTTTTTGGTACCGGGGATCGAACTCAGGACCTTGCACTTGCAAAGCAGGTGGCAGAACCACTGAGCTAAATCCCCAGCCCTATGGTTAACACTTTAAAGCAATAATGTCCTTTTGAATTATATGCATTGCTTTAGATACAGTGCTACTTAATGGACTCATACACTGTGAACATAATTTTTTTGTTTTCTATTGCATGTAAAAGCTACGTATGATTCACTTTTGGCAACATTCACTTCATTGCAGTGGTCTGGAACCAAGCTTACAATGCTTCCAAGAGAACTCTGTGTATGATGGCTGGCACTTTAAACTTCTGAATAAAAACACTAAAAATGCTGGGAAGGCTTCATAGAATGATCATTGCATCGAGCACATTTTGTTGACAAGATATAAATTGCACTGACCATTTTTTTCTTCCCATAGGTTTTATGGGAATTAGAAACCTTACGTCTCATAAATCACTTTGAAAACTCCATGAAGGAAGAAATTGAAGATGATGATGAATTATACATAGTAGACAACAATGGAGAGGCACAGCTCTTTGATTTTAGTGGCCAAGACTTTGAAAATAAGATTCGAGTTCCTCTTCTTGAAATACTGAAATATCCTTACCTGCTTTTGCATGAGCGTGTTAGTGAGTATCTTGGGCGTTTCTCAAGTTGTATCTGTTTTATTATTATTATTGTTATTTATTTACTTATTTTTTGGTACCGGGGATCGAACTCAGGCCCTTGTGCTTGCGAGGCAGGTGCTAGAACCACTGAGCTAAATCCCCAGCACCAGTTTTATTGTTTTAAGAATTGGGGCCTGGGTGTGTGACTCAGTGGTAGGGTGCATGTTCAGTGTACACAAGTCCCGGCTTTGATTTCCCAGCACGTACCCACACTCAAATTAGAAGTGTTGAGGTTTACAAATTTATATTAACAATTTGTTGTTACACATATCATTAGGATGCTTAATATTGCAACATTTTATTATGAAAGTTTTCAAACACAGATAAGTAAATTACCCACCATTTAGGTTTTATAATTGTTAACATTTTGCTATATTTGCCTATCACAGCTTTTTGTCCATTCAGTTTTTGTTGTTGTAATACATCGTGGCAAGGTTATTGATCTTGATGCTCTTGAAAGTTTGGACTGGGTGAGGGGCTGGGCCGTCCACTGTGGGATGTTCAGTAGCACTTCTCTCTGGTCTTGACACACCCCAGTAGCATCCTCTTCCCAGCCGTGCTGTGGGGACCACCTGTCCCTTGGTGAGTGGTCAAGATCTCTCTGGTTGAAAACTTCTGATCTGTGCTGCCTGCCTCGTAAACTTAGGGTCCTGAGTTCAATCCCTGGTACCAAAAAAAAAAACCCAAAACCCACTAATCTCTAATAATTTTCACTCATCCCCATGGCATGACATAGTATGGCTGTTTAGCTTAGGATTATTTGTATTTGCTATAAAAGTAATGACATCTTCCTAATGGTCAAATCAAATAAAATAAGAATACTTTTAAAGTATCTAACACATAGTCCATATTCTTAATCTGTCAGTAGTTGTAAAATTGTGGAGGATTTTTTGGCTCGTTTGTTTAAGAGTCCAGTCAGGGACCATGTACACAGACTTTTTTTTCTTTTTGGCCATGTATAGTTGCCCTATTGGAAAATGTACCTTAAAGATTTTTTTTCTGCTGGGCGTGGTGGTGCACACCTGTAATCCCAGCACGAGAGAGGCTGAGGCAGGAGGATTGCTGCGTGAGACCAGCCTGGGCTACACAGTGAGTTTCCAGAGCAGTCTGAACTACATAGTGAGACCCTGTCTCAAAAAACAACAAAAAAAGATTTTTTTTCTTATGATATTTGACTTGTATCTTTGTCCTCCATATTTCTTTTTTTCTTTTCTTTCTTTTTTTTTTTTTTTTTTTTTTTTTTTTTTTTTTGGTACCTGGGATCGAACTCGGGACCTTGTTCTCGCGAGGCAGACGGCAGCACCACTGAGCTAAATCCCCGGCCCTCTTCCATATTTCAGTAAACTGAAAAATAAGACTTAAAGATTTGTTTAGCCAGATCACTCCTTCTAAATCAATAAATTCAAAGTAGTTAGCTTAAAAAATTCTAACAAGGCATTTTAAAAAACAGATATCCAGAAAATTATATAAGCTTTGCGGTTCTCCGCACCTCAGTAGCTGAGTGTTGTCAGCATCACAGCCGCTCCCCTTCTGCTCGCCTGGTCCTTACCCTCCTCCTCCTCCCCAGAGCCAGCCACCAGCACAGTAGCTTCCTGACGTCCTGCTACAGCAGCGGTTTTTGAGACCTCAAGGACTAAAGTTGATTGATCTGATTGGGCACATGGGCAGTCCAGCAATCGGAACAACTAGTCACGTGGGGCAAAAGCTGACTTTCCTCACTCCCCTCCCAGGCCTGATAATCCTGGTGGACCAAACGTAAAGCACATAACGATTTGTACCTCTAGCCATACTTTTAAGAAGATATTGTGTGGAGATAATTATGCCAGGTATTAAAAAAAGGTGTATATTCTAGTAAAGTCACAGTAATCCCCCCAGACACCCTGTTATCACACTTGAATGGTCTGTCCCACTTAAATGTTGGTCTTACACTTGCGTTATTCGCATTTATATGCCTCAGTTAAGGAAAAAAGGATGACCTTTTCATTTACATACGGAACAACCAAAGAGCCAAAGTTAGGGCCTCTTGCTAAGTTGCTAAGATTTCTGTATTTCCTGTCTTATTTTTTCTATTTAGATGAGCTGTGTGTTGAAGCACTTTGCCGGATGGAACAAGCCAATTGCCCCTTTCAGGTTTTTGAGAAACATCCAGGGATCTACTTGTTTTTGGTCCATCCCAATGAGATGGTGAGTATGAATGTTAGACAGTGGAAGAATAGACTTTATTTCTGTACATGTAAGTAGCTTTAGTAGAGGTTTTAAGTACGTATTTTGTTTAAAATATTTGCTAAATTTTTAAATTTTCTTACTTTAAAATTAATACAGTTAAGTAGAAGGTGCTGTGGGGTCAAAGAAGGAGGGTATTGAGGAGGGCAGAGGAATCCTTCCTGATGAGTGGTGCTGGAGCTTAAAAGACAAGTGGGAAGAGTTCATTTTCTTTCAGTTTGACCTGAAGGGAAGGAGGAGGGCTCTTTTTTCCTTGCTCGTTTGCCTGCCCCACTCTAAACACATGGGAATACCAGTTAAAATACCTGAAAAAGTTATTTTGCTAAAAGATGAGATTTAAGAGGTAGGCAGGAGGGCCAGGAAATTCCTGGTGCCGGAAATGAAGAGGAATATAAACGGCAGGACACTGTGCAAGGAAAGGTGCAGCGGGCAGCCTCGGAGCGCGAAAGGCTGGTGAAAGAGGCCTTGTGGCTGAGGTTGTAGTCTGATCACAAAGGGCCAAGACAGTCTGTATGGCTGCACCTGTGCGCGGCACTTAGTGCTGCGTTAGGATGTAAACCAGTTCAGTAGCTACAGAAGGCTCGCCTTCTCTGCCAAGCTAAGCTGAGAAGAAAAGGCCTTTTCCCGTTTTTGCAGCAAAGAAAGAGCAGAATAATGGGATTTCCTGTCAAGATGCTGGTGAGGCCAGGCATGGTGGCGCATGGGCCAGTTTGAGTCCATCCTGGGCAATTCAGCCACTTACTGAGACCCTGTCTCAAAACATTTTCGGAAAAGGCTGAAAATGTAGCTCTGTGGGAAGGCCTGGTTCAGGCTCCAGTACTACAGGAAAAAAAAACTGCTGGTGAATTTTAGTTTCCTTTGTGTCATGTAATGGAAAAATCTGAAGAGAGGAAATTAAAAGGATTCAGCCATTCCCCTGAGAAGATAATGGTTTCTCTGGACCTGCAATGGAGCAGAAACACAAAGTTATTGGCGGGTAGAACTCTTAGGCTTGCCTGACTGTAGGTAGCTAGAGACTAAACTTGTGCAGGGTAACAGGAAGTAGAAATGTACTCCAGGCAAGACAAATACCCAGAGCCAAGGTCTGTGTCTAAAGGATGGGACTCCTCTCCTGTCAGAGTTGACAATTTTGTCAACTAACTGGCTTTTTAAAAGCTGCATAGCAATAGAAGAAGCAAGTTGTGTTAGCTTTCAGATAACTAAGATCATCCTCATAGAGAGGTTTATTTTGACCTAATTTTGGAAATTTCAGTCCATGATAGTTGGCCTGTTGCCTTGCGCACATGGTAGAGCAAAACCACTCATTGCACAGTTAGGGAGTGAAAAGGAAGGGGCTTAGGTTCACAGTCCCCTTTGAGGATAAGCTCCTATACTTATGATGGCTGGATCCCACTGGATCCCACTTCCTGACGGTCCCACTTCTTCCCATTTGGAGGATCAAACCTTCAGCACTTGGGTGTTTGGGGGACATTGTAGATCCTAACTATACCCACGGGTCTTATCTCATAGCCGGATCCTGGGCCTGCAGTATTGTGCTATAAAAGGCAGGTTGTCCTGAGCTGCCAGTACTATGCTTGGGTCTAGGACTCCAAGGACCACAGAAAGGGCCCCAGATTTATAGATAGGAAAGGGTATAGGAGGGATCTGATTAGAGGAAAAGAATTCTTTCATGCAGAGTGAGATTGCAAACCAAATCCCTGAAAAACACATGAAGAAAATCCATTTCTCAGATACAAAGTCGGAACCAGCACTGCTGGCCGTTTTGTTAAGATCCATTCAAGAGGCACTTGAAAGAAAATGAAGAAAACTGGGAGACACTCAGGACTGACAGCACAGTGTGAGTGGTGTATTGGGAAAGTGGGCAGGAGAGGGCCCCGCTGTTGGTGTGGGGGGCCAAACTAGGAAAAAAGTAAAGCTTGCTTTCTGTTCTCCCTTACCATTGTGGAAGCACCTGTATTTGGGCATTTCAAGGATCTGACCCAGGGTGAGGACAGGAATACAGTCAGGTCCTTCAGCTCCCTGGCATTTGTGACACTGAGACAAGCTAAACACTGGTAGTTACTTTGGACCCATCCCCTCTGATCCCCCAGTGCTGGGGAATTGCAGTCTGGAAGGGTTTTCTGCAAATGCTGCTTCTCTCTGAACTGGAAAATTAAATCGGTAGAGATAAGTGGTTACTGTTTTTGTGGCTTGGATTTTTATCTACTAGTCTCTCTGGGGTCTGACCACCTTTTGTTTCTTAAAATTATTTTTCATTAGAAAGAGTTTGTGGGACATAATGGTTACATTTATTGTGGGTGTCGGTACATGTCCTTAACACATCTTTTTTTCCTCTTCTACTCCTCCCACCCCACCCTGTTTGTTCTACTTGGTCTCTTCCATTGTAAAAGCTCTATTTGTAGTTTTAAAAATATTTAAAAAATTTTTAATCCACTTCCCCCTCTCCCCTCCATCTCTTATTTTCCTATCTATTTGAAAACATCTCCCTACTTCCAGTTGCCTTATCTTTTATTTTGTGCTTCTCTCTCTCTCTCTCTCTCAAAATCTCTTTCTATCTATATATAGTTTGTTTTTTGTTTGTCACTTAAGACAATATGATATTGAAGCTTGTATGGCTGATTGATTTAGCTTAATATTACAGTCTCACGGTGCATTCATTTACCTACAAATGGCTCAAATTGATCCTTTTTTAAAAGTTTATCCTTCTTTATGACTAATACTCCATTGTTTTCTTCTAATGCTGCTTCTCCCTGAAGCGGAAAGTTAGATTGGTGGCAGTAAATGGTTATTGTTTCTGTGATTGGATTTTCTTTATCTATTCATCTATTGATGGGCATTTGGGCCATTTCCAAGACTTAACTATTATAAGTAATGCTGCTTTAGTATGGGTATATGTGTATCATGGGAATGTGATGACTAACTCTTTGGGGAAGATACCTCAGAAGGAAATGGAATTTCTAGTTTGAGAGTTTTGAGGAATTTCCATACCGATTTCCATGATGGTTGTACTAGTTTACATTCCCACCAGCAGTGCAGAAGGGTTCCCTTTCCGCTGCAACCTCATAAGCATTTATTATTTGATTTTGTGATGTTGGCCATTCTTTCTGGATTAAGATGTCATGTTGTTGTTTTAATTTTCATTTCTCAAATGGCCAGCAGCATTCCAACATTGCTTCATGTGTTTATTGACCATTTGTGCTGCTGCTTCTGAGAAGTGTCTGTTCATTTCATTTGTCTGGTTTTTGATTGGGTCTTTTATTAGGGAGCTAATTTTTATTTTGTTCTTTATATATTCTAGAAGTTAGTCCTTGGTCCAAGGAATAGCTGGCAAATTTTTTTATACTTGGTCTTTGCCAAAAGGCCAAGCAGTGACGGCAAAATTTTTTTCTCACTCTGTATGTTGTCTGGTTTCCTTTGGTGTTTCGAAGCTTTTTCATTTGATGCAATCCCATTTATTGATTCTCAGACTATCTGTTGCTCCACTGGGGTCTTGTTTAGAAAGTCCTTACCTGCACCTATATTTTCAAGAGTTTTACCCATTTTATCTTCTATCAGGCTAAGTGCTTCTGTTTTAACATTTAGTTCTTTGATCCATTTTGATTTAATTTAGTAAATGGTGAGATATATGGGTCTGCATTCAACCTTGTGCACGTGGGTTGTCCAATTTATTAAAGAGGCTACCTTTTCTGCAGTGTATGTTTTTGGACGCTTTGTCAAAGATCAACTAGTTGGATGTACTGGAGTTGTTTCTGCTTCCTTTATTCTGTCCCACTGACCCACATGTCTGTTTCTGTTCCCACAGTACTGTGCTGTTTTATCACTGTAGCTTTGTGATATAACATCAAGTCCAGGATTGCAATGCCTCCTGCTTTGCTGTTGTTACCTCACATTGGTTTTGCTACTCTGGGTCTTTTCTGCTTCCATATGAATTTTAGGATTATACTGACCATTTAGTATGATATTGGCTGTTGGTTTTTCATAGATGGCTTTCATCAGGTTGAGATAGAGACCATCTGTTCCAATTTTCTGTAGGGTTTTTATCATGAATGCGTGTTGAATTTTGTCGAACACTTTTTTTTTGCATCTATTGCGGTGACCATACTGTTTTTGTCTTTGGCTCTATTAATATAGTAGATTACATTTTGGGGTTTTTTGTTTTGTTTTTTTGGGGTTTTTTTGGTACTGGGGATTGAATTTGGGGCCTTGTGCTTGTGAAGCAGGCAGCGGAACCATTGAGCTAAATCCCTGGGCCCTACATTTATTGATTTGTGTATGTTGAATCATCCTTGCATCCAAGGCATGAATCTCATTTGGTCAGGGTGTATGATCTTCTGCTTTCTGTTTGCCAGTATCTTATTGAGCATTTTTGCATCTTTGTTCATTATGACACTGGCCTGTAGTTCTCATTTTCATTTGGGTCTTTCTCTGCTTTTGGGGTCAAGGTGATGCTTGCTTCTAGGAATGGATTTGGGAGTATTGCTTCCCTTTCAATTTCACTGAAGAGTTTAAACAGTAGTGGCAATAGTTCTTCTCTAAATGTCTTATAGAATTCAGCAGTAAAGCCATCAGGACCCAGGCTTTTCTTGGTAAGTTTTTAATTGAGTTTTCAATTTTGTTGATTGATAGTGGGTTGTTTAGAATTTTTAGGTCTTTGTTCACTTAGATAATTCATACATATCTAGGAATCTGTCCATTTCTTCTGTGTTTTCCATCTTATTGGCATATACGTTCTCAAAGTGTAGGTATTGATGATTCTCTGGATTTCTTCTAAGTCTGTTGTAATTTCACCCTTTTCATTCCTAACTGCATGGATTTGGGTCTTTTCTTTCCTTTTTTTTTTTGTTAAGGTTGGCTAAGAGTTTGTCAGTTTTGTTTATTTTCTCAGAACCAACTCTTTGTTTCATTGATTTTTTTGGTATTGCTCTTTTAGTCTCCATTGCATTGATTTCTGCTCTGATCTT